GGGGAGGGGAGGGGACGGAGCGAGGGGGAGGGGGAGACACGCCGAGGCGCACGGAATTGCAAGTTCAGCAAAGAAATGGGTGGGGGGGCTCCGGCGGGGAGACGCGGCGCGCTCCGGGTCGGGCAGGCGGGGATGCGTCCCCTCCCCGCCCCCGCCCCAAAGAAACCTCAATCCCACCACCATCCAGCAAAACAAAAAATAGCCATCTATCCAAACGAAACTGCTCCCAGCACCTCATTCTCCCTGAGATCGTCAGCTACAATCTGAAGCCTCCACAGCTCAGTTTTGCCCGGATCATCCATCGGAGGCACTTTGAAATGTATTCGAGTTTACGTCCCTCACTTCTTTCTTTCTCTGACTCCGGTTCCCTCTTGCTCACACATCCACACGCGGCCAGGCAAGTTTATACGAGGCTGCAAATACACGTGATGCGAAAAGACTTTGCCAAGAAGAACACTATTTTTCGTTTCCCTACAGAAGAAACCCAGCCGCCGGTGCTGGGGAGATCTGCGTTTCGGTAGTTTTTGGCGTTGGGGGCGAAGCCTGGATTGGACTTTCTCTACCCCCCCCCCACCTCCACCCCCTTTGTAGCCACAGATCAGTATAGTTACAAACTTCGCCAAATAAAAATAAAAAGAAAGAAAAAGCAATTTGGAGGAGTGGATGTGGTTTTGTTTTTACACTTGAGTTTCTAGGGACCCTTAAGCCCCTGTTGTTCGCCAGCACTCTTTAAGTTTTTACGTCGGCGTTTACTGTCATAGGCCCTCCAGCTTTGAAAAATACTTGTTCACATCATTCTTGAGGATAAAAATGCAGCTTTACAATCCGATCGCTCCATAATTACAAACGTGCTTTAGCCCAGGAGATGCAACACACGCTATTTTAACGTGTATTAAAATACACATTCAACACACACCCTGTTATTGCTACATGTGCGAGTACCTACACAAAATGCATGCACATTACTTCTCCACATTGGCAGTTATTTAATAGGCTGTTCCTTTTGTTTTAATAAAACATTGGGATCGACATTTTAAATGCAACTCAATTACAAACAGTTTACTCTGACAGCAAATTGTAACGTTACCTTAAATGGCCACAAATATGCTCACAATATTCCAAGGAAAGAGACTTTTTAAAAAAGAGAGACAAAAATCTTCTGCAAGTATTTAGTATCTCACATGTGTATCCCCAAAAAAGTATCTTAACTGGTACTCAGTCCTGCTCCAGGGATATTCCACAGATTACAAGATTATGCACCTGGCTCTGGTTTTTGCATTTTCCACCATAAAACTGCAACAAAATTCCCTCCCCCCAAAAAAAGAAAGCATTAAAAAAAAATCCAACAACTTTTTCTTATTGTTTATAAAAAAAAGAATAACACAGGAGAGTTATAATTTTTCATCAAACAAATCTTGGTGGCTTTTTTTTCTTCTCCTCATAAAGTCTTAAACTTGTTCCAAGTTTAGAGGTGTCTCCTCATCATCATCATCATCCTCATCATCATCACCATTGACTCCCCCGTGGAGTCACATTGATAATAATAGGTTTCCCTGAAAGATACATTGTAATCCATTCACATCCGGGCACTGCGGGCTTATAAAGAGAAGGCGCTGCGGCCGCGGCTGCTGCTCCAGACAATGACTGGGGAGGGGCGGGGCGGGAGCGGGCGACCATCGAGTGGTAAACACGACGCCTAGAGAGGCGCCCAAGATGGCGGCGCGCGCCGGCCACGCCCCCTCGGGGACCGGGAGGCGGGTGGCGGGCTTCGGGCGGGCGTTGCGCGTGAAGGCGAGCGGCGCCGCTGCTGCCGCGCGTGGGCCGCGTCTCGCGGCGTGCTTCCTCCTGTCCCCGTCCCTGCGGCCTCTCGTGCTCTCTGGGCCACCCGGGCGGCGTCTGCAGCGCACTCACGGATGAAACTCCCCTGCCGTCCGCAGGAGTGGGCACGCTCGGGGGAGGCCGCGCCGGCCTCGCGAACGAAACCGCGGCGCCCGGGTTTTCCCGCGGCGTGGAGCCGGGCCTCCGCGAGGCTGGCGCGGCGCGGAGAAAGGCCACGGAGCCCAAGTGTTGCTCCAGGGGTTCCGCCCCGCGCCGAGCCCAGGAAGTGACAGAACTTTCGGAGTCCGGGTCAGACTTACGGGGTGTCGTCCGACCAGGAGACCTTCGCGTTTATGGCTCTGGACACGCACGTCGCTTTTGTGCCTCAACGTCCACCGCTGGCCCGGCGGTGACCTCCTCCAGCCCGTGATCTGGTCTGTGAGATAAAAATGATGATCTCTGGACAGATGCGCTCAGAGTGAAATGGAGCCAGCCCAGCTGACCACTCAAGAAACGCACCCTGTCCATCCCTAATTCCAACTCATCAATACCTCACCCCTAGCCAATGGGAAGCTTCTAAATGGAGGTTTTGCTCGATTCCGAAAGCATAGCCCTTTGCTCTCCACCACTCCCAACCCCTCCAAAGAGAAATGCCAGTAGTAATGATAGTCACCCGAGTGGACGATGGGCCAAGAACGGGTGTGATTTGAGCTCATCTACCCCTAAGCGCGGGTCATGAGAATGTCTTATTACTCCCATTTGACAGTTAGGAAAAGACAAACAAGTGAGGCTGGGCACCCCACGCAGGGCGCTGCCCGCTTGCCAAGTTGCTCACCTTGATAAAGGGAAGGAGTTTGAGACCAGCGTCCGCGGGCAGCCACGTTCCCATGTCATCACAGCAGTGGGCCGGCCCATGCATTTCACTGACACAATTTTGTAGCCATCACAGTTCACACCAATTGTAAGATCTTTCGTGTTTGTGGGTGTTTTGAGAGGGCCAGGATGAGAGCGCTTATAGGTTGTTTCCGGTCCTTTCCTGCCCTGCCCAAGATTCCCCTCTTTCCACATGACAAAGCTTAGAAAGAAGATGGCGTTCGTGGGGGCTGCTCCATCCACAGACACCCTAACTTTTGTGGTTGTGCGTAAACCCTGACAGACGCAGAATTCAGTGTAGTTGCTGCAGATGTCTTTGGGTCTCAGCTCTATCAGCACTGTCTGATTGGACCTTGGATATGAGAAGAGGGATGAATGGTAGTTTACAGGAGGGATGGGCCTGACATATTCTGGAGATAGTTGGCCAGCATGGATGCCAGGGAGCCAGGCTACAGGAGAGCTATGGTCGAGGGGAAGTAAAAATCATGTGAGTAAAGCCAACTGCTCTGATGAGAGGAAGACCTTGGACGTGCTTTGAGAAGCAGACAACGTAGTCTTAGGAAGGAATGCCCGGAGACCCCTCCCGGATTACTCTGAGGACGTCACCTGGTTTTCGCCATGTCTCTCCTTCCCCAACTGGGGTAGCTTCAGTACCTTTCTCATCGTTACAACTAAAGAGCTTACTAAATAAAATACCAAAACTCACTGCCATAGCATCATGCCAACTCATAGTGAACCTATGAGACAAGTAGAACTGCCGCGGTGAGCTTCCGAGACACAACTCTTTAGCGCCATCTTTCCTTTTGGTTATCCGATGGTATTAGGAAAGAGGCACCCCCCCTCCATCTATCTCCAGGCTGGTCCGCCCACATGCAGATACGCCCACATACTAGTACTCAGCGTGAAAACTGACCCATGGTACACCATGCTTCAAGACCAAGTTTCATTTCTTTGTCATTAAAAATAAATATTTCACAATATATAATTACATATTGTTTTTGTGATTAATCACTATGCTTTAATTCTGTTCAAATTGTAACTATGAAAACACATCCTGCATATCAGATATGTACAGTAGCAAAATGACAGTTAAGAAGTAGTAATGAAAACAATTTTATGGTTGTGGGGTCACCACATGAGGAGCTGTATGAAAGGTCGAGGCATGAGGAAGGTGGAGAACCACTGATGTCAAGGAAACTGCTTTCCCGGTGACAGAGTTGCACGCAGTGGAAGCCATCACCATTGCATAAACTGAGGTGAGGCTTACAGGCAAGGTTTCATCGGCATGGACAAGGAGCGACCCATAGTAACACCACATGGATTCATAAAAAGAACAGCTATTGAAGCGTGCTTGGACCCAGCCTCCCATTTCTGATTGAGGATGTGGAGGCTTAAGTGGGATGGCTCGCCCAAGGTCATATTACTAATGAGTAGCAGAGCCAGAAGCAGCCAGTGGAAATGGAGTGCTACTTCAGAAGGCAATTCCATTCTCCTTCAGATTCCATCCAGCTTGTACTCCCCCAATCCTTCCATGTCAAAATAAGCAAACAACACACACACACACACACACTAGCTGTCCAGTGCCTCAAAGAAATCCATCCAAAGCTTCCACAAATTGTTTCTGAGCATCTATGTTGCACCAGCACCAATTCTCTCAGGATCCAAATGTAACCCAATAAATCAGAATAGGAGAAATGTCAAGGGCAACTTTGATGGAATAGTGATGTCACAGTGAGCCTGGGGGAAGAGGCATGGAAAGTCCCAGCACTTTTTTTTTTTTCAGTTGATAAGTCAAATGGATAGAAGTCTTTGGGATCCCAAGCTGGAGCCTGACTCAGACTAGAAAGCTGAGTCAGAAAGGTATAATAGAAGGGAACGGGTTCTTCCCTTTGACTCAAATTCTGAGTTAAAGAAGGACAAACCTTCCGGGTCCACAGACGGTCGACCTACCCCAGGGCCCTTGCATTGACTAGCCCCATGATTCGTTCCCTGGCTGGTCACGTGGCTGGCTCCTTATCATCCTTCTAGATGGACTGGTTAAAGTAAGCACCACATCTTATTATTCTTGGCCACCACTTCAATGTTATAACCTCAGTGGTTCTCCTATAAGGCCATTTATTGATGAACTTTTATGTTGCGGGTCGGTCTCCCTTGTGAAACTGTAGATTCTATGATTCAAAAACAATGAATCTTGTTCATCCTTATGGTCCCGCACCAAGCACAGTGCCTGGCATATATCAGATGCTCAGTAACCATTGGTTAATTAATCGAAGGCTAACTCTACCTTTATCTTTAGATGTACAATGGAAGAGGAAGAGTCTAGCTATTCTGCCTTCTGGTTCAGTGCCTTTTAAGATTTCATTTTAGCTTGATTTCACTGCGGACACACAGCCTGATTTCCAATAGACCGCTGGCTCCGTGTCACTCAAACCCTAGGTTCTGAAGATAGAACCAGGATAATTGCCTTAATTTACCCAACCGCAGGAATAGACCCCTCATTATTACGAAGATGCGGTCCCTAGACTGCTTCACTCGTGTAACATTTTTACACATGTATGGACCTCGGTCCAATTAGGAAGGCTTAACATTATACATGTTACATTGATGAAATGGATTTTTATGGACCATTCTTGGAAGATCCATACCATTCCAGTTCCCCCAACAATTTGTGCCACGCAGCATGCTAAGTCCTCAGGGTACGATGGCATGCTCCTCGCCATAAATAGGAGATTCGTACAAAAACTAGACAGCATCATAAACCGGTATAACTGTGCAACTGTGGATCCAGGCGGAAATAGTTGTACCATATGTTGAGGAATGACAGAGGACAGGATCATAATCATGGGACAGAAATTTGATCTTACTTAGTTAAAGATGTTGGATGGTGGGTGTTGGAAAGCGTCTTGGTTACACAGTGGTTACATGTCAAACTACAAACCAAAAATTCAGTTCAAACCCACCATCCGCCCCATAGAGGTGATAGCATGCTTCCAGGAAGATTTCTAGCCTTGAAACCCTCTGCCCTGTTCTACTCTGTCCTCCCAGGGTGGCTAGCAATCCAAATCAACTCCACTATGGTGGGTGTGGTGTTGTGGGGCTTTGTCGTTGGCAGTGGGGGGAGGAAGCAGTTGGAGAGGAAAGAATAAACAGAAAATCTTTGCAATCTTTCCTTCTTAGAGTCCACGAGGTTAGGGGGATTCAACGAAAACACAGCAGGTTAATATTTAAGGCCAGTCCGTTTCCTTCCAGTCACCAAACTACGTTGTGCTTGTGACGTTTGGGAGTTTTATTCGAAGAGTCTTGTCATGTTTTGAGGGATTTGAGGACTGGGAACACAGTCTAGAAAGGCTAGTGTGGTGACCTGCAGTTTGCTCTGGTGGCCTTGTCCTTACAAGTTCAAGCCGAGCCGGCTGTGCCCTGGAGCCAGGCACGCGTCACAGCCCACTAAGCAGGAGCATGGCTCACTTGAGTTTACATTGCCACTCTGCCAGGGGTTAGCTCTGTGACCGTGGGCAATTGAACACACTCCCAAGCCTTCACTCCTCTCCCATAGAATAATAATCCCCTCTACCAGGATAACAACACATGAAATAAAATGTTACAAAATCACGTAGCACGGTGCTCATTTAGCAATCATGATAGCAGTGGCTATCAGAATCCAGAGATGAAGGTATCTAGACTTTGACATCATGCTTTTCACAGTGAAGATCGCAACACTTTAGTGATCATGAAATCAATCCAATGACCTGGGACACGAGCTCACTGGCATGAACCATAGGACGGGGTAGAACTGCCCTTTGGGTTTCCAGGACTATAGTTCTCTTTTGTTTTGTCTTTGAGATTGTATCTGTGGTAGTCACCTAATCTGGTGTCAATTTGAGGACAAAGAGTGTA